TTGGTGGGAATGCAGTGGGATACGATCCTTCTGGTCACAGGTTTTCGCTGTTTACAACAGAATATATAATGGGTCCTTGACCCCTACTCCAGAAATTGCTTATAAGGAGAGAAGCAATGCCGATCTGAGTGTAGCAACAATAGATTTATTATGGCAAGTATCAAATTGCTCACTTAAAGAATACAGATAAAAGCAAACGCTCATCAGAGATAGCCACTAGTGGCACTTTTGGTAACGGTCACTACATGCACAGAGTCCTGTTGGTAAGGGAATCCTCAGTGGTGTTGGTGGCTTCCAACACTTCCTGGATGGTCCAGAGGCTCTGCAGGCACTGGGCGTGACGTCAGCACATCAAGTACATTGCAATGGGTGTGGGTACGTGTTCGTGTGACTGGGAATGCAGATAAATAAATCAGCAGAAGGACCCTTATAGTCTACTTTTATATTTTATTTATTTAAAACAAAAAACTATTTCCTATTTAATAAATAATACATAATACAGAAATCCCCCTGCGCTCCACAGAACCTAGTGAGTTAGCTGCTATCACCTATTCTATATACCACAAGATAAGTGAAACAAAATAATATAAGTGGTGAAGCGCTCAACTTAAATACTCAAAAACTAGTGCAATATCCCCATATATAAATATTAAATCCCTAGTGATATAATAATACACAAATGATACCTCTTAGGCTATGCAGATATACAAATAATACTAATAAATAATAATGAATAGAAAACTAGTGCAATATCCTCATATATAATATATATCCCTGGTGATATAGTGATAACTAATATCTCTTAAACTGTGCAAAAAAGTGATACTGAAATGCAATTGATTATATCAATTTAAAATAAAATATTAATTAAAATAGTGATGCCACACTGTGCAAAAATTATAACAAAGTGTTCAAATATTGCCACTCCATGCTGAAATAGTGCTCTTCGTGAAAATCTTGACGTGACTCCCCTCAATAGCAGAAATGCCCCCCCTCACCTTCCACATTCGACCCTTGCGGGTCACAGAGCTTTTTATATATATATATCTCTCTGCCAGATGTTAATCTCCTCCACTGCCTCCACCGACCATGATCCTCCTCCAGGCAGTCAGTACCACTCCAATTACTCCCCTCACACAACGAACTCTGCCAGAAAGTATTCTCCTCCACTGCCACCACCGACCAAGATCCTCCTCCAGGCAGTAAGTAATACTTCAATACCCCTCACACAATGGACTCAGGCATATAGCGATTCATATGGAAAAACAAAAGCAGACCTCCATAGTGCAACACTGTTTAATGGACTTCCACATTCGACCCTTGCGGGTCACAGAGCTTTTTATATATATATATCTCTCTGCCAGATGTTAATCTCCTCCACTGCCTCCACCGACCATGATCCTCCTCCAGGCAGTCAGTACCACTCCAATTACTCCCCTCACACAACGAACTCTGCCAGAAAGTATTCTCCTCCACTGCCACCAGTAAGCCACAGAGCCGCGTCACGGCACCCTGAGTATCTGTGGTCCTAACTCTACAAGTCTAAAGAGTCCTCACAGTGGAGGCACATGCATTTAAATGGATAGAAACAAGGGCAGATAAAACTGTTTTATCTGCCCTTGTTTCTATCCATTTAAATGCATGTGCCTCCACTGTGACATGACAGCTATTATTATTATACAGGATATATAGCGCCAACAGTTTGCGCAGCGCTTTACAATATAAGGGAGAAAGTACAATTACAATACATTTCAGTACAGAAAGTATGTGAGGGCCCTTCTCGTGGAGCTTACAATCTAAAGGAAGGGGGAGGTGATACAAAAGGTGATAACTGTGGGGGATGATCTGGATGATTCAAGTACAGTTCTTAGATAGAGGTGGGGTAGGCTTCCCTGAATAAGTGTGTTTTCAAAGATCGCCTAAAGACAGACAGGGTGGGGGGCTGACCGGACATGCTGTGGTAGGGAGTTCCAGAGGATGGGAGAGGCTCTGCGAGAGTGGGAGGTGGTGATGAGAAAGCTAGAGAGGAAGATATTTTGGGAGGAGCGAAGTGCGCGATTTAGGTGGTATCTGTGGATGAGGTTGTCAGTGTAGCTAGAGGCAGTGTTGTGGATGGCTTTGTAAGCTGTGGTTAGAATTTTGAATTTATACGTTGGGTTAGTGGAAGCCAGTGAAGGGATTGGCAGAGAGGGGCAGCAGTCGCTGATCGGTTGGTAAGTTGTATGAGTCTAGCAGCAGCATTCATAGTAGACTGAAGGGGGGATAGACTGTGTAACGGTAGACCAGTGAGGAGGGAGTTGCAGTAATCAAGGCAGCATAGAACCAAGGCATGGATAAGTTGTTTTGCGGTGTCATTGGTCAGAAAGGGGCGGATTTTGTTCCGGAGGTTGAGGCCGCAGGATTTAGCCAGTGAGTGGATGTGGGGCCCAAAGGAGAAGTCAGAGTCTAGGATTATGCCTAGCACCCTGGCATGAGGGGAAGGACCAATGGTTGCGCTGTTGATCTTAATGGTAAAGTTGTGAGTGGGGGATCGGGGAGGAGGAAAAATTACAAGCTCAGTTTTGGAAAGGTTGAGTTTAAGGTAGTGATATGACATCTATGCTGATATGTCGCTTAGTAGATTTGTGATATGTGAGGAGATTGAGAGGGTGAGCTGGGGAGCAGAGAGATAGATATGGGTGTCATCAGCATAGAGGTGGTATTGGAAGCCATGATAGGTTATCAGTTGGCCCAGGGAGGAGGTATAGAGAGAGAAAAGGAGGGGCCCAAGGACAGACCCTTGGGGTACTGCAACAGAAAGAGGAAAAGGAGTGGAGGAGGAGGAGTTGTATGTGACACTGAAAGTGCACTGAGAAAGGAAGGAGGAGAACCAGGAGAGAGCAGAGTCACGGAGGCTGATAGAGTGGAGTTTACTGAGGAGGAGCGGGTGGTCGACTGTGTCAAAGGCAGCGGAAAGGTCAAGGAGTATGAGTATTGAGTAATGACCAATGGTTTTAGTGAGTTTTAGTAGGGCAGTTTCTGTGGAATGTTGTGGGCAGAAACCAGACTGTCGGGGATCAAGAAGGTTGTTGTTGGTGAGGTAGCAGTTCATACGGTTTGTGAACAAGGCACTCGAGAAGCTTGGAGGCAAACGGAGCAGGGAGATGGGTCTTAAGTTATTCAAACAGGTGGGGTGCAGTGAGGGTTTTTTGAGAATGGGGGTAACCACCATAATGCGTACTTTGCGCAAGGAATGCCAGCCTGTCCCCTCGCCAGCCGTCACAAGGACTGTATTGAATTTATACTTGGATGGGCAAGGGGGGGAGTTAGGTAATAGTTCAATTAAGAGCTAATAAATGACACATGGGGTGTGTTCTGCCCTTAACAAATTGCAAGCAGGATGGACACAAGATAAGGCAAGGTGTTTGATCTCAGCTAAGGCTCTATGAGGCTAAGGTCACTTCATACAGGCAAGTATACACAGTAGTTAAAAAAAAAAAAAAACAGAAAAAAATCTAACAAAGCAGATAATTTCAGGCATGCAAGCTAGCTAGATTGAGAAAGCAGTGGAAGCGGTGGTTACCAAGGGCAACAGGAGGGCAGATGTCAGTTGCAGGCAGTGCAGGAAGTTTCAGAGGGCAATGGAAGCAGTGGTTACCAAGGGCAACAGGAAGGCAGATGTCAGTTGCAGGCAGTGCAGGAAGTTTCAGAGGGCAATGGAAACAGTGGTTACCAAGGGCAACAGGAAGGCAGATGTCAGTTGCAGGAAGAGCAGGAAGTTTCAGAGGGCAATGGAAGCAGTGGTTACTTTGTGCAGGGAATGCCAGCCTGTCCCCTCGCCAGCCGTCCCAAGGACTGTATATATGTGGGTGTATTTATTTGCATGCTTGGAGTTCAAAGTTCACCTATTTTGAGCAAAAACAGTGTAACATTTCTATATTTGTTTACAGATTTCTGCAACATCATGATAACTGTCTGATTTTGACAAGTGGTTACAACATGCTATTCTGTTAAGACCATGTATAGCGTATAATCAGAAGAAGAGTATGTATCATAAAAGCCATATTAGTAACCATTTTACATAATGTAAGGAATAAGGATGCACTAAGTCTTAGAGTTTCTATAAATATTTAAATGTTGCTTCCTAGGTATAATTAACTTGAGTGCTAGTTACATAAGTGATAAAAGTAGCCAACATGCATTCTGATTTTGAAGTTAATCAGGTTCTTGAAGTATAGAGACTACACAGAATGTGACATGTTTTGTATATTTACTTTACTATCTTAAGGACAAAATATAACAGAAGTTTGTATATTTGTGTATATAAAATATTATATAGGAATAGTTCATAAACTACTATATTCAGTCAGGAGGTGCAGCTCCAGAGTCTTATGAATGCAAGTTTTTTTTAAGGATTCTTCACTAGCGTAAAAGATTATCATTTTATCCCCAGCTGTTCAGCTTTGTTACAAATACACACATAACTATATCTAGTTCATACAGCTCCATATCAAGTATCAATTAGAGGGAGATAAACCAAAGAAAACATCTACTGCTGGGCTAACTTATTAGAGAGCTGAGAATTATTTGCTAAAGCAGCCTGTGGTCATTTTTTTCTAAGGTATTCAACATGTAGCAAAAACTTTACACAAAATCAGTTTATATATTTTAAAATTAATATAAAACTTTCAATTTACCAAAATTAGTTTTCTTCTAAAATGTTCTCTCAGAAATTCATTCAATGAGCTCTCACACTTTGGGAGGCAGCTTTTAAAACTGTAAAGTAGGCATAAACTGAATTTGGAAATAGGGGAAAAGTAAGCAGTGAATTATGTACAGCTAAGCACATTGAAAAATGTTGTTATTTTTTTTTTGTTACAAGTCACAACTAGAGATGAGCGAAGTATTCAAAAATTCGATTCGACTGATTCGGCGAATTCGTGGAAAAATTTTGATTCGAGTCGAATATATTCGCTGTGAATTTAACTTAAAAAAGGGTGTTTCTAGGCTTCAGAGAGACTTAATATTAGTGCAGAACACTGTACCTTTAATTTTAAATGCCCTTGGAGTCTGCTGGGGAAGAGAAATAATACTGTCAGTCAGTATGACATGCAGATGAGTTGCCGTCGATCTTAGAATCACCGCACACTTCACTCATTTGGGCAGTTGCACGGGGCCAAAACCACCAGAGTGTGGAGCCACAGTGTGGCGATAGAGACAGAAGCAATGGGAGGCCGTACAGGGACCCATGACACACTCTGGACACCTGGGCAGCAGCATGAGGAGGCGGTACAGGGGCCCATGACAGATTTGGGCCTGGCAGCAGCATGAGGAGTCGGTACGGGGGCCCATGGCAGATTACGGGCCTGACAGCAGCAATGGGAGGGCCGTACAGGGACCCATGACACACTCTGGGACCTGGCAGCAGCATGGGGAGGCGGTACAGGGGCCCATGACAGATTACTGGGCCTGGCAGCAGCATGAGGAGTCGGTACGGGGGCCCATGACACACTCTGGACCTGGCAGCAGCATGAGGAGGCGGTACAGGGGCGCATGACAGATTACGAGCCTGGCAGCAGCAACTTGGACAGGAGGACGTTCTAGCTTCTGCACCGTCGGGTGCGTGCTCGCAAAAACTGTTGTCTCTTGGAAACGGATTCAAGAAATGGACTGCTGACGGAATCCGTGGCTGGGTAAGAGGAGTAGCAGGAGAAGGAGCATCTGATCGAGCGGAATATGCCAACAAGCGACAAACAAGCGGGGGCCCATGACAGATTACGGGCCTGGCAGCAGCCATGAGGAAGTCGGTACGGGGGCCCATGGCAGAATTAGGGGCCTGGCAGCAGCTATGGGAGGCACCGTAATCTGCCAGCACCCTATGACAAAAAATTGAACCCACCAGCAGTGTGAGGAGACCTGAAAGTGGCACATGGGCAGAGTGTCGCGATGGAGACAGCAGCAATGGGAGGCCCGTACAGGGACACCATGAGAGACTCTGGACTTGGCAGCAGCATGAGGAGGCGGTATAGGGGGGGCCCATGGCAGATTAGGGGCCTGGCAGCAGCTATGGGAGGCCCGTAAATCTGCCAGCACCCTATGACAAAAAAATGGAACACACCAGCAGTGTGAGGAGACCTGAAAGTTGGCTTCACATGTTTGGGGCATGATTCATGGCGGATTTAGTCAGTTGTGTCAGGAACTGGTGGTTTGAAAATCCAGACTAATCCACGCCTGATTCATTTTCACAAACGTGAGTGAGTCTCTCCACACTTTGGGGTGGACAGTCGTGTCCTCCGCGGAGTTGCAATACCTCCTGCCGCACTAAAACACGCGCTCCGATGCCACGCTACTGGCCGGGCATGACAGCCTTTCAAGGGCAAATTCAGCTAGTTGGGGCCAAAGGTCAAGTTTCGTTGCCCAGTAGTCAAGGGGATTGTCTACTCGGTTGGCAGGGTTGCTGTCCAAGTAGGCCTAAGCCTGTTTGTTTGAGGTCCTGCTCCAGGTCCCACCTGATGCTGCTGCTGCTGCTGCTGCGGCTGGTTAGTAGTTTCCTCACTGCGCTGGTGAAGAAAGCTACCTCATCATTCGACTGCAGAAATAGAGGCAGCTGCTGATGGTGGATGCTGACCATTCTGCTCCTACCACCCCACCCCTCCCCTTGCTGTCATTGGCAGGCGGAACGCGAGGCGCTACGTGGGCCCACAGTCGACTGAAGTATGGACGTTGGCAAGCAGTCAGGCAGAGACCAGCTGACTACATTAGGTCGGTATTGTATAGTAACGATTATTTTGGCCTCCACTTTCTCAGTAGGTGTGAAAAAGGCCACCATTTTTGAACCGTTAGCGAGGGTCCAACAAGGTGGGACAATCCAAAAAGTCATCCCTAGGTCTGTTGGGTTTTTTATTCGGGGTGTGCTAGGAAGCAAGGGCCAGCCCGCTAAGGGGGCCCTTTGTGCCAAGGGAAAGGGGAGGGACTCCCTGCCTCCAATTTCCCCCAGCATACGCCACGGTGCGGGCTGGGTCCTCCCGTTTCCCCTTCCCCCTCCCCTTTCCGATGATCCTGCTCCCCCACTTCTGTTTCCCCTGAGTGGAAAAACCCCCATTTTTACTCAAAAATTCCTGGCACCAATTGGGGCCTCCTCTACCTCCTTTCCCCTTCTTCCTGTCCGCCCCAAAAAAAGGGGTTTATGTGGCGTTGAGATCTGTGCGCCACGTCTACCGCACCCCACCCTAAACCGTGTATAAGAACCACCAAAGAAGGAAGCCCCCTCCCAAAAGGGTTTGCCGTCAAATGCCCCCTCAAACCACAAAGCACCCCCATAACACAACTAAAGTTGGGATTCCTTTGCCACAAAATTTTCTTTTCGCTAAAACCATCAAAATAAAATTTGGGGG